GATTAACATCTAGAATACATAGATAGCTCTTAACACAAGGACAAAGGATATAAATAGGCAATCCATGTAAGAGAAACAGAAATGGACAAAAATGTATAGGAATACACACAGTTTATTAGCAAATCAGGCAAGGGCAGATTAAAACAAAGGGATACAATGGTTGCATCAAATTGGCAAAAATGAAAATGTTTCCTAATGGTGTTGGTTGGGCTTGAGAAAACCCTTTCAGATAAGTTCCTTTCATATAAGACAGGTGAGGTTATAAAATGGCAAAGCCATTAAGCAAACTTTAGAGGTGGTTCTAGGACACATTATGAGTGGAGAAGTGAGACAGAGAGGGAAGGAAGACCATAAAAGGTGTGTTTTCAAGCCAGTTAACAGGGCTTAATTCTACCGGAGAGCTCCGGAAAATAATACAAAACATACACCTTTGAGTTATCTGCCCTCCACCTCCCAAGAGATGAGGAAGCTGTGATGTTTATCCACCAAATCCCATTGGTCAGAGTGTGTGTTAATTGCTAGGAACTTCTGGGCAGCTGCATGGGTAGCAAAAAGAGTTCTGAGTACAGCCTTCTGAGCATTCACCTTAGGGAACCCCTACCTGGCCCATATACCCAGAGAGGGATACACCTGGCTATTACTCAATTTTATAGGATTGTTTGCTGTTGCTCAAAGTTATAAACAAACACCAAGAATCCATCAATGAGAATTTTTTTATTCTCACATAAAATAGGTAATCCACTCTTGGAGTTATGATAGAGCAATTTAAGAGAATGAGGTAGATACACAGGTACTAACATGAAAAGTTCTCTAAGATATGCCATAAAATGAAAGGGAAGTTGTGAAACAATAAAAATAATACGATGTGACTTGGGATAAAAATGGATATAAACAAAACAAAATGAAATATTTCTGTAGTTATGCATATACAAATTCATTACAAAAAGACTTAGGAAGAAACCATAAAGTTCTGACCAGCAGTTGACTCTGGAAAAAGGAGTAGGATTGGGGTTAATGGGAGAATGTAGTTTAAAGATATTTATACCATTTTACTCTTTTACAAAAAGGAGATATTTGTACATTATCTGCAAAATTAAAAGAAAATCTGTAACAAAAAAAGAAAGTTGTAGGAATCCTTCATTTAAAATGTGTTTTTTCCTCTCGTTCCTTTTAGAATTTAGTTATGTGTTCCTTCTCCCTTCCCCCAAGCTCCCGTTTCCGGGATACAAGGAAGGGTTTACTGAACTAAATTGAACTTCTTGGATCCGAACTAGTATCAACCAGTTTTATTTTTACACCAACTTTGGCACAGAAGCCGGGCATCGAGTTTCAAGGCAAAGGCCTATTTTGTTTCATATTCTAGCAGGATAGGTTTTTGTTAACTCTTCAACATTGACCCTTTTCTCTTCTTTAGCCTTTCTTTCAAAAGTGTGCCCAGATTCTTACAGTTCACATGGTTTTCATGGCTAACGCTTCCTGTGTGGTGGCTTCTGGTGCCCCGTGGCACAGATCCAACAAAAAGTCACAGCCTAACGCAGGCACCCTCTCAAACACACGGTCCGTGCTGAAGTCCCTTCTCTACCACGATTTACAAACTCATCCTCTTCACATAATCAACATTTACACAAGAAAAACCACCGTGCTTAAAATAGTCACATTCAGAAACTTGTTTTTGCTAACTATATTCAATAAGATTTACAGAGCCAACACTAAAGAGGAAAGAATTATTAAAATAAGACCAGAGCTGGTACAAAGTATGAACACATATCCCTAAAAATGATATTCACATGTATCTGCTTCCACCAACTCCAAACACTCTGTCCGTGTTTCACTAAAGCACATTTCTGCTACCTAAAAATTACTTGCTAGCTTTGGCTTCTAATTCCTAAATCTATCAGCTGTGCTGTCTTCTTTGTCACCTATCATTTCTATGGTGACATATCAAAGGAGGGGAAGGCAGCATGTCATTGTTTACAGAAGGGAAAGGCAGTGGCTTGAAACCAGCAGCTCTGGTACAAGGTCTGATGCAGCCATGACAAGAGAAAGACACTGTAAAACATGACAATTTTCTTCCAATGCTGTTAAAAACAAAACAAAAACTCTTGTAATAATGCTCTTTACAAAGGGCTTCTTAGAGCCACTCAGCTTGCCCGTGAGCAGATTAGGTTTCAGGTGGTTGCTAATCAAAATGCTTTGGTATAAGCTTCACGCAACAAAGGGAGAGCTTGTTGGGAGGAAGCCTCAAGGGAGAAGAAAGGCATATTACAATAAATACCAACGCACGCTTCCCCACCAGTGCAAAACACAGTGTGCAACATCAAGGGATAAACTTAAAGGTTATCATATATTTTTCTCTGAAACATGGTCTCTATTATAATGTGACAGATTCTTAAAACTAATTGCCGGAAAAAATATTTTAAAGAATGTAATCCTCTCAATAACATCATGATTGTATGCAGATTCAGCCATGTACCTTCAAATGATTTTATGCAAAAACAGCCACTAAAAGCTTGGTGTGCCATCCTCCATTTACATGCGCCATTTCTTCTATCATACACTTACTCTAATACATCACTTACAGTCGCCCATCTCCTAAAAGCAGATGAATGACTCATTTTGGTTCCAGGACTAGGCTTAAAGCCAGAAGGAAAATGACAAACTTGAAAGCACAGTAAGTTTAATTTTTTTTTTTGCTTAAATCTTCTCATCTTTTGGATTCTAAGATATATGATCATTGACTAAAAAATAAGCCTCCAAACTCTCATAAATGACTGAGGGATGACTTAGGTATTTAAAAAGTGAAAAGTAAAATTTACCATCTCTTGGCTAGAACTATAAGATGAATACCCATGAAAAGAAAAGTCACAAAGAGATAAAAGGAATTGCCACGAAATTTTCTGTTTTCCTTGGTCATAAATAGCATTACAACTAGGAGAAAAAGATTGGTATAAGAATTTGAAATATATTATCCTTGATTTGAAAGTAAACATGGGTTGAAATATTGGCTTCACAATAGAGATGCAACAAACAGGCCTCAGTCCTAGACTCTCTTTCTTAAGCAAAGAAATATTTATGATTGGTCTTAGAGGGGAGCTTAACTGAGTTGCCATGAATTATTTAAAAACCCCAAAATATCTTCTGTTGCTTTTATAGAAGCTTGATTTACAAGTTAAAAAATCAAACTGACAGTTTGGTCTCTTGTACAAATACTCAACCTTTAGAAATGCTCTAGGCATTATAAATACATCTTTCATGAATAAAGCTTCAACAGTTCTAAAAATAGCCTTTAGGAGGAGGAAAAAAACAAAAAACAAAACCTCTTGTAAGCCATTGTTTTACACATAACAGCAGGAAACCAAACAGAATGTCTAAGCCGAGTGATTAACACACCCAATAATAAACATGAACATTAAGTATGAACTCTTACTCAAATACAATTTTTGACATTAGCATAGGGTCTATGGTTTACCCCCCACATCTGTGTCCACAGATGGTTCCAGGGCACACGTATTCAGAAAGTGACTCCAGGACCACAAGGCTGAAATTTGCCTTTTGGATGATCTGTAAACAGGCCCAATCAGGACTAACTCTGGGACCAGATATTACTTTCCAACCCCCTAAGAGCTTCCCCTAGGATCCACACTGCCCCCACCATGCCATTGCACAAGGCCACTTCCAAACTACTCCTCGTAGGTCTAACTAAGGTTGTCCCAAAGGCAGCAACAGGAGAGGCTGAACACTCCAGCGATAGGGTCTTACTCTGTTGCCCAGCCCGGAGTGCAGTGGCACGATCCTAGCTCACTGCAGCCTCAAACTCCTGCACTCAAGCAATTTTCTTGCCTCAGCCTCTGGAGTAGCTGGGACTACAGGCATAAGACATCACACCAGTTTGGGGCTTTTTTTTTTTTTTAATTTTAATTATTTGTAGAGACGGGATATCACTATGTTGCCCAGGCTGGTCTCAAACTCCTAGTCTCAAGTGATCCTCTCACCTCCACCTCCCAAAATGTTGAGATTACAAGTGTGAGCCACTGCACCTGGCCAAGGGAACTTTGGACATAAGGACTAATGTGGATTTTTGAAAGAGCTAACAATTCTCACTCCCTTCATTAGTAACTGTGGAAGTCCCAGGTAATCTAATGGTATAATACCCTTGCTATTCTATTGGTTTCAACATGTATTTTGCATTCTTAATAAACTCTGTCCCATCTCTCCATAGATCAGAACTTACGGGATAAAAATACTCTATATTCTGTGGCCTCTGAGGTTCAAATGTAGAACTGTGGCAATGGTTCTTGAAATAATAACCACTTTCTATGAATATTCTTGTCTAACTGCCCATTAAATTCCAAATAAATCTTATGATCGACAGACATTCTACTTTTTAATAATTCGACACAGTATCATCAATTGGTTTCATAATAAATGAGATATCAAATTCATGGTATTGTGGGCAGAAAGCTAATTTAGGAAGAAATTCCTGAAAACTGCAGGAATAAGCTAAAGAAATTTTATTCTTGGTTTTCTGATATGAACAAATTAACAAGGCCAAATTCCTGCTGATGCTGGGAGAGCCGTTAATGAACGGCACAGGGAAAAAAGGAGAGAAAGGAAAAGCAAAGGGTACAGTCATTGGGATCAAATGTCATTTTCTCATCATTTTTATTCATTCTTTATGGGTGAGGACTTAAATCAGTAACGCCGGCTAATTATGTTCCACATCAAATGTAATTCACATTTCCATGTTCTTGTCCTAACAAATAACCTATGCAGAACTGAAAAATATCGAGTGTCTTAGGATTTTAAAAATCTACTATTTCAAAGTATTTGTCCTTGAAAAGTACCAAGACATTTGGCCTTAGATTTTATTTTAAGGTAGAATCTTTAAATTGCAAAGGGTCATCTGTGAAATGGATATACTCATACAAATAAGACAAATAAATACTTTGCCAAGCAGTAACCAACCGGAAAATGTAAGAAAGATGTATTTCATTTCTTACCTTATTTTGATCTGTCCAGTAAAAGAAAAATCCCTGAGGGTCAGTCCTCAAAATAATAGGAGTAACAATAGTTGAGTCCTAGAAATGTAAGAAAAAACATGCATATCAACATATATCACTGTCAAAAAATCTACCCAGCAGTTATTTAAAAATTAATAATTGCTAAGGGATTCTCCAAGGTTGTCTATTATTAAGAAAGATTTCCAAAAAATTAGACATGGCATTTTTAACTTCGCAGATTATTAATTATTTAACTGAGGTAATTTCCCAATAATCAGAATATTTGTGCATAACTTATAAACGAAAAAGCCAGTGATGCATTCATTGATTAAGGCAAGTTTTTAAAGGCGTTGACATGTTTTCTATTAAAAACCTATATTTAACTTTCCAAATAATTTTAACACTAAATATCATTACACATGTTATATGATTAATATTAATTAAAATTCATGCCTAAGGATAATATTTTAAATTACGTTTGCTCTATAAAATGATTTTCAATTGCACTAAAGAGAGTAAGCATAGCATTTGGGCATCGTTTCCAAGGTAACAGTAAATAAGGCCATCTTCTACATACTTAGAAAGATACACACAAACTTGTTGCAAATTAAAATTTCACATGCTAAAATAAAACATCATAGATAGTCTTTTGAGTTTAAAGCATACACAGCATAAAGCAAAAATTGCATGTACTGTAATTATAATATTAAACATTTCTAAAATATGTGTTCTTTTCTTTTAGCAATTTTCATAAAGATGTACCATCTGCACAAGATAAGACATGTCACTGGATATAGATTTTTATACTGAAATACTCAGGCCTTTGCAGGAATTGCATTTTGTAGAGACATAAATTGTTAGCTCTTTTCAACTTTTTCATATACATTATAACTATCATATGTCATATCTCCTAACTGATCAAAAGAACTTATAATAAAAATTAGAACTTGCAGAGAAAATTTTGGAATTTGAGATACTTTCCTATTGGGTAGAGTTGTATTAATGATTTTCATCTACATGTTAAGTTTTACTGTAGCCTAGCTAAGGAAGCTGTCTCCTCTTGGGTTCAAATTCCTGCCTGTCCTTTCTCGACACATCATTTTACACAACTGAAAAAAAAAAAGGGAGGGATAATCACAATACCTACCTCAAAGGGTTGTTGTGAGAATTAAATAGGATAACTTGGGTAAAGCACCTGGACAAATATTTGCTGCCCAAAAATATTTATTATTAATCCAGTGGATTATATTTAAAAACAGATGTATCAAAATATTAAATTTTTGTATAAAAAATTATGTATCAAAAATTAAATCCTGATATTCTTCTTTTATTGTAATAAAATATGTATAGCATAAAATTTACCATTTTTAAGTATACAGTTCAGTGGTATTAAATACATTCACGATGTTACGCTACCATCATCACCATCCATCTCCAGAAATTTTTCATCTTCCCAAACTAAAACTCCACACCCATTAAACACTCCCCATTCTCTCCTCAATTCAGCCATATAGACCCCATTTCTACTTTCTGTGTCTATGAATTTGACTACTCCAGGTAGTCATGTAAACGGAATCGTACACTATTTGTCCTTTTGCCTTTATTTTATTTAACATATTGCCATCAAACTTCATTCCTATTATAGCATGTGTCAGATCTCCTTCCTTCTTAAGGCTGAATAATATCCCATTTATGTATATCATGTTTTGTTTATCCATCCATCCATCCATTGATGGACAATTGGGTTGTTTCCACCTTTTGGCTATTACGAATAACGCCCCTATGAACACAGGTGGTACGAATATCTCTAAGTCCCTGCTTTCAATTCTTTTCGGTATACACCGAGGAGTGAAATTGCTGAATCATACAGTAGTATAATGTTTAATTTTTTGAGAAACTGCCATCCTGCTTTATCCTGATATTCTCAACATACATTCTTAACATGCAGTTTGAAAAATATCTTTTACAAGAATTGTGTTGTTGCATAGAACTTCAGGTAGACTTTTAAAATTTCAAAATTACTTTCAAATGTCAAAAGAAGACATTTGGAAACAAGCTGATAATATAATGAAAGGATTTTTAAAAAATTAGGCTTCTTCTATCAGATTACATGCATAACAGTTCACAGCAATATTTCCAATAAATCATAGCAATGTTTTCAATCCTGTTTCGTTGTCTACTCTTCTAGAGGTGGGCAAAATAAAAGTTTCTGACAGGCTGCACACAGCACACATTCCCACTTCCAGATGATTTTGGAATTAACTGTAGATGTAACTGATTATTTTCAGGTTAGTGCCTCCTCTTCTCATCAGAGCATCTGACAAGATTCTAATCAAAATCTTGGTGGCAGTTCCTTGCAAGGATCCCAGGTAATCAAACATTTAAGTGAGCAGAACAAAACCACTCAAAATTTATATTTTGGAACACTGTAGTAGGCTGCCTAGTTTGTTTCGGATACTGCTATTTCTAGCTTACTCCTTCTCCTCCTTCAAAATTAAAGCTCCTTTGTTCAATATTTTCTTGACTTCACTCTTCCAGCCACAGTTCCTCTGTTAAGTGATCATTTATCTCGGCTCCCTGCCTGCTTCCTCCATAATCACCTCAAACATTCCAAGATCAGCTGGAACTTGGCATTCTTGCCATGCAAAGTAGGATTTGACCCAGAAATACATGAATCTCCATTTTCAATTCCACCTGCTTTTTTTCCCACCTCCCACATAGCTGCAATTGTCTCTATTCTCCCTATACCAAAGTAGCTACTCAACCCAGATTACGAATATTCTTAATTGTCAGAACATAGGCCCAGGTTTGAAGTTTGATATATATGTTCATTCTTCATTTCCAAGGGAACTAAAGATAGGTTGTGACTCTTGGAACACATTACTGTAGAATGATAAAGACAACACTATTTTTTTATTCTTTATATCTCCAACAATATCTTTAAGATGTGTGTTCCATAAGATGGTTGTTTTGAAACTCTTGAGTACATTAGATTCACTGAGAGTTCTTGTTAAAACACAGATTGCTGGGCCCTTTTCCTGGAGTCTCTTACTCAGTAGGTCTGTGAAAGACTCTAAGAATCTGCACTTCTAATACATTCACAGTGATGCTGATGCCACTGGTCCATGGACCACACTTTGAAAATCACTGATATAGTGCTGCCTACACTGGGCGAGGCTTTGGGTGAGGAATATAATGACGTAAAGCTCCAAGAAGTACCTGTGAGCTTAGAGTGTAGGCAAACCTGTATCTTGTAGTACATTGCCTCAAACTAAGAATTCAACTTTAATTTACTTAGAGTTATGAGAGATGTTTTTCCAATGAACATTTGCCTTTAAAAAAAAAAGAGAACAGTAATAAACATATCTGTTTTGAGTTAGTAATAGCAGATGACGCAAGGTAAATTTCCATTTATTCCCTTTTATTTGATAGAAACCATTTTACTCTCATCCCTATATCATCAATAGTGAAGACTAATATGATAATTAAGAAGCTGTTGTTTTGTGATTTACACGAATCTCTAAAGAGTCTATAGGCCAAATAAAGAACAGTCAAGGCACAAAGTAAAGGGCCTTAACAAAATCTCAACATCCAAAAGAATGAGAAACATTCCATGAAGAAAAAAGTGTCACTGGGATCAACATTAACACTACCAAGTCCTATAACTCTTTACTATAATGATTTGCTCATTGATGCACTGATATAAATGAATAATAAATCCTAAAAAAAACTGAGAGGAAATGACAAAGGTACTAGGAGTCCAAACTCCCTTCTAATACCAGAATCCCTGGGAGAAAAATAACTGATACATTCTCAACATTTGCTCTGAGCTGATCACTGTGGGGAATTTCACTTGTAGTTTCTCCTTTAATACTTATAATAATGTAAGAGGTAAACATTGCAATTATTCAAATTTTACAGATAAATAGATCAAGGCTTATGCTAACTAACTTGCCCAAGGAATCCCAGCATTGGAAATTAAACCTTTAAGAACATGCTCTATAGCAGTGCTTCTCAATATTTTTCCATTATTGCCCTACTAAGGAGCCTTTGTAGACCTTTATATTCCTAATCAGCCACCATGAAATTTTAATTTTAAGTATGAAATGTCTAAATTCCTTAAGAACTAAGTTTGACAGTTGGTATCTTTGACATTTCGCTTTGACATTTCTTGCTTTATGTTTATTGTGAAGGTATATCCTTATTCTTTCAAATGCATGGCTTGGCTTGGGATTATCTTTCAAATTTTTTTTTAGAGCAATTTTTGTGAAACCATGGATACATCAAAAACTCATGTTATTTTTGAATATGAGTTCCATCGTGGAACCAACGCAGCACAGACAGCTCGAAATATCAACAAAGTTTTCAGGAAGGATGTGGCACAGTACATCGATGGTTTGAGAAGTTCTCTTCTGGTGATTTTAATCTTGAAAATGAGCCACATGGGTGACCTGAGACCAAGGGGGATAATGATGAGCTGAAAGCTGTACTGGAAGTGAATCCATCTCAACCTATGAACAGCAAGGTTTGATGTTACTATTCCAACAATATTGGACCATTTGAAACAAATTGGTAAGGTAAAGAAGCTGGAGATGGGTTCCACATGAATTAAACAAGCATCAGAAGAGAAATCAGCTCAAAACTTGCCTTTCTTTGCTGTCATGACATAAAGACAAACAATTTATGTGTGATGAAAAATGAATTCTTTCTGATAATTGCAAGTGTTCAGCATAATGGTTGGATACAGATGAAGTGCCAAAATACAGTCCAAACCCGGATATTCATCAAAAAAAGTTAATGGTGTTTGTTTGGTGGTCCAGCACTGGTATTATCCACTACAGCTTCATGAAACATGGTCAATCCATTATCGCATATGTCTACTGGAGGAAATGATGAGATTGCTTGCAATTAAGCAGCCGATATGGGTCAATAGAAACACGCCAATCCTCTTGCAAGACAATGCTGGACCACATGTTGCACAAACAAGGTTGCTCAAATTGCAAAGGCTGGACTTGGAAACTCTCTGTCATCCACCATACTCATCAGACCTCACACCAACTGACTACCACTTCTTCCAG